GTGCCCCCTTTTCCCTTTTCTTTTCACTCTTCTTTTGGGATTTATTTCAGCTGGCATGTCTTTTCCTTTTTTAATTTCTTCATTCGCATTTTAAAGCACATATCATTTGTTGGATATTGCCTTACAGTATAGATGTATCCGATCATTGAAAGCTTGCAATTTCCAGTACTGCTTTACTGGCAGTCATTGTGCAGATGTGAAGGCAACAAAAGATACTTATTTGCCATCACTGCCACAGAACAAACCCTAAAAAGGGCTCCAGATACTCAAGTTGTTATACCACTAACTTCATCATACTATGTTCTAGAGAACCACTGTGATGTAGTGGTTAAGAGTGTGAGACTGGGACTCAGGACTGTGGGATTTGAGTTCTAGTCCTCGCTTGGCCATGTAGCTAACTGGGTGACTTTGGGCCGTTCACCGATTCTCAGCCCAACCTATTTCATGGCGTTGTTGTTGTGAAGATAAGATTGTGAGGAGAATTACATAAGCTGCCTTGAGTTCTTGGAAGGAAAATGGTGGAATGTAACAACTAAATAAGCCAAGGGGTTTGTTTGTCTTTAGTAGGCATATAGGGCCATTTTTCTGTTTCAAAAATCAGCCAGAACTAGATCTAATCAGCTGTTTAAGTGACAGGAAAATTTCCAACTGCTGTTAGAAAACTATCTGCATCCTTCAAACTGCAAAGAAGGATCCTCTTAGACAGTCTTGCATTCCTATAAAGATTCGGCAATCTAGCAAACCCTGTGTGATAATGGAACTATCAAAAGTCCTGCCTAATCCAAATATCGTTCACGTGGCAAGAGTGCGTGCAGAAACTTGGGATAGGCCATACAATCCTGAGTCAGCCCTGCATAAATTTAAAGTTTCCAATAAATAGTTTCCAATTTAAAGTTTTCAATTAGCACAGGCCTGGAACACTATTAGCATCTGTAATTAAAGTAGTACAGACTTAAGTGGGCTAACTTTTATTGGGACTTGACAAAGAAAGTTTTCCAGTGATAGCATAACAAAGAACATGTGTTAAAATTGGCTATAAGTAGGCAAGGCTACAAAGAAGCTATCTTGCCATCTCTTGAGACAATCTTGTTTGTATAGCATTTCTTTTGACAAGAGTTGTCCATAATTAGATTCTAAATCAGGAAGATGATACTAGGTAATTCTCAAACTACTGGCTCTTTCCATGAGCTTGTTTGACATTACTATTAATCCAAATCTACCAAGTCCTTTTTGCCCTCCACTCCAGCACCGTTAAAAATACAAACTATGACATTCTAAGCACCTCCTTTCTGTTTTAGACATATTTTTAGCAATATGTTCAGTATCAACAATACCTGGTCACAGCACAGGATGTGAGCAAGTGGTGAAATGACCACAAACAGCATTAAGATTGTGAGTTGTTAGCTTCCTATTTGGTTTGTCAAAACCCATCTTCTTAGGCAAATTACTAAAAATGAGGATGATCTTGAGAACTCTGAACAAAATGAAAACAATGCCCCGGTATCTATATTTCTTGGTAAGTGGCAGAACAAGTGGGAGTGGGCTACTACGCACAGATATTGCTTGTGGGTTTTCACAGTAGCTCCTGTGATAGATCCTCACTCGGACCCTGCATGGCTCTTCCTAAGTCCTTCTCCCCATTCACTTCTTGCCCCTCATTTGTTTATCAGGCCTTACTTCTAACCTCTCAGTCACAGGCATTGTGTGAGTTGGCTGGGCCAAGGCGATGGCTCAGCTTCTCCTGAACCCAGAGTGAGATCTAGAGGACCTTACTAACTTCAGGGTATGGCTTCACAGAATCATGCTATTTACAAAGCAACTGGGATCTCAATAGATGCCATCAACTTCTCTTTCATAAACATGTAGATGAGAAAAATACTTGCTCTTGTTAACATTACTATTTCATGAAAAGATTCATAAACATATGAAAAAGAGGCCTAAATAAATTGCATTTACATTGGGAGGGAATTTTGAAATACACTGTGCTCATACAAATGTGCTTGTACAGTGGCATATGCCTTTTTATGTCTACTTTCAGGCATTGCTACAGATTATTTTTATATCTTCTATTCAACAGACCTGTAATAAAATTTATAAAATGAACACACACAAGCTAGCCTGATAAGCTGTAATCTTCCATTTTATTTTAACAGTGCAATTAAAACAGAACTAACAATTTCTGTGGTAACTTTGCAATAAAAAGTCAGCTTCCAAAATGTTTAGGAATACAAGATACTAGCAATGTATTATTAAGATACATTTTGCTCATGGCTTCCTTCACAAAAATTCATTGTCATGTACTGTAATTTGGCATAACTTGTGTAAAGTATTCACACCCAAAAGTATCTTTTTTGTGTGGTAAACACATTGTAAGGGTATTTATCCACAAATACAGGTTGAATAGGTGTACACTGCCATCTAGACAAGGTTTTGAGAGCAGCACTGAACTGAAAATAAGTTATAATCATCAATGCAATGAAACTAATTTTTATCATTTTAAAATGCATCAAGATGTGGAAGGTCATCTTCAGAATCGTAGGTTACTAAGCAAAATGAAAGGGTCTGAAGAACTAAAATGAAGCAATTTAGAAAATTCATATTTTGTTAACTAGATCCCAGATTCATATTTCTGTAACACTCCACAATACTGCTAGGACAACCCCACCTATAGTTCTGATTGAATTATACACATTCATAACTATGCCTCAAGGCACAAGGGCAAATCTTTTCCTATTTTAATAAAAAATACAAAAAGTATTCCTTTTCCTAGCAAGTAGAAGTAGATGGAGCACTTTCAACTCTACAAATTACTGGTTCATCTGAAAAATAGTTTTTCTCAAACTTATTTAGTATATTACTGCAATCCTGACGTGAAGTGGCCATTTTCACAGATGCCAAGCCAAAAGGCCTGCTCTAATAAGCCAGGATATTAATGAGTAATGTGCATCCATATATTGCTTCTTCACTTTTCCTATTGCACAACTGGCGAAATAAGCAAGGATTCACACATGGTCATACTCCCTGTAATGTGTGAACCTCAAACTATGGTCAAGTGTTTTCAATGAAGCCATGGTCAGAGGCCAGCTGTAACCCAACATTTTAAGTTGTCTTAAGGAGTCTGGTTTATTTGCAAGTGCTTAACCATATTTCTGGGTTGAAACTGTGCATAAACCCTGCTGTGATGGAGCATGTGTATAAGGAACAAAGGTAACAGCATACTGCTTGCGCATATTCTATATTATAGAACCAAAAGTTTGGCTTTAGCATAGTGTGCAAACTTGGTGAGTGCACAGCCAGTCAATTATCACTATGCTCCAGACTTTTCCCCATATGAAGATGAATCCTGTCACAGGTCTTTCTAATCAAGTTCTATTAATGCTTATCCTTTCCCAGAATTAGGTTCTTAGTATTTATTTGTCCTATTGTTTGAACATGGCTTTGAGTATTGGTTGCTGTTTATTAGAAGTTGTTTATCAGCAGTACCCTTCCTCACTCTCTGCCCCCTGCTGCTGAATCTGGCCCTACTTGTGTAGATTTCAAGTTCATCCTAGTGTTCTCTGCTTGGGACTCTCACAATTTCTAGTCTCTGGCCATTGCAGTACATTACTTTCTCTCCAATTGTGTCTTTGTGCTGTGTGTGAGACTGTTACACACACACACGTCTGTAAACACTGTGATAAGAACCATCATGAAACCCCACCCATCTTTCATGAAACCCCCACCCCCGTCTTTCTGGTACCTCTATATTCCACAAGTTGCCCAATTTTATTTTATGATCCTGAAACCATAAAGGTGTCTCCTGAACTACCCATTTCTCTGGAGTCAGGCAAGATGCATCCCCTCAGAAGTGACCACTGTGTCTGAGCACATCATTCAGTTCTGTACAAAAGCAAAAATGTTACAGTCATTGGTTGATTTTCCAGTTAGGATGAGGAGGGACAAAGCTTTGGATTGCCAGAACTGAACTTCTGATTCAGGCCCGAGTCAGACCAGGCGGCCCAAGAAATGGCCCATGCTAAATAAAGAAAGTGGGGTCTGACTTGAATCTTTGCCTAGTATGTTTCTCTTATTTGCATGTAAAACATGCAGCAAAGATCTGAGGCCGGCCTCTGATCGACACCTCTGAAAGAAGGCTCATTTGGGGGAAACAAAGAGGAAGCGCTCTCCAGTGATAGAAAAAGCTCCCGCACTGAGGACAGCATGCCACCAATTGCACCAAATTAAGACAGTGATGGCTCATTTAGTAAGCTTTAAAAGTATATTGGGCTATTATGCCAGCTGTTCGACAGGTCTTGTGCTTTAACTTGTTTTAACTATCATAACTTTTATTTTTAGTTTCAACTTGGCTTTTAAACTTTGCAGTGTTGATTTTTATTAAGCTTTTACTGTTATTTGTATTTCTATATTGTATTTCTACTGTATTTTATGTGCTTCTCCAGCATAATGGGCTTCTCCTGGAAAGCAAGAGATGTACTCCCCAGGCACCTTGTTTCTTAGCAGAATCATTGTGAATTTGTCAACGGAGCAGCAGATGAGGTACCACAGTGGCAGTGGACCATGTGAAGGCCATAAAAGGAGGGAGCTACATGCAGCCCAGGAACATGTTGCCCACTTCTGCCATCTACCTGTATATCTGCATAATTTATGATAGTAGTCATTAGTTGTGTCAGCCCCGTCCACTTAAATAAGCTCCACACCAGCAAGCTTAGTGTTTGCTAAATTAACCAGCAAAAATTAACCAGACAGTGTTAATGTTAATATATGTTCCAATAAGGATGGGATCAAAAGCTGTCTTGTAATTCCAATTTAAGTGTTCTAAGTTTAACAACAAAATGGCAGTTTATGACCAATGAGGTCTTGATGCTTAAGTGTAGAACTACAGGCAGTTTTAACGTAATACATATAATAGGTTTAGAGTGAAATAATTGTAAATGTGAATTTGCAAATTTGTAAATTATAAATATAGATTTATGAAGGCAAAAATGCAGACCAAAGACCTCCTCATTACAGTATGTTTATTGAGTATAACCCAAGACTTTATATGGCAAAATATGTTAACAGTCTCATTATTGTGAAAAGGTGTCAGGGGAAAGAGAATCACAACAGTAATCGCCTGCTCATTCTTGATTCCACAGCTGGCAAAAATTTTGAGCTTTTGATAAAAAGGTAAAACAAATATCCAAAATAATAACATTTAAGAAAATAATCACACATAGTTCTTCTCCATAAAAAATAAATCCCACTTTAATGCTAATAGGCCTGTTGACATCAACTGTATTCTCTTCTTGATCCTCTTACCTTTACAGAAACAGAATTAAAATGTTATAAGTTATGTGCATATATCATAAAACATTTATGTCACAAATATACTAACATAGCAGTAACCCATTGAATACAGCAGGACTTCTGAGTCAGTACATTTAATATTGAGCTGTTTATCTTACATGTTATATGTATCATTGAATGTAAAACATGAAAGCCTGCTAACCTTCGTAGAACAATGCCTTTAATTAGACAAAGTTCTCTCTTAATTGTAGGCTCCTTTCAAGGAAGTCTGTCTTTCAGAAGAGGTACCAGCTTCTCTGAAAGATCCTGTTCCATAGCTAGAGACAGCATGTAAAGAACTCTGCTTCTTGAGGCTTGTTAGTAAGGTGTAGTTTGGTTAGATACGATTGTCATACATGCATCAATATATTCTTATATAGCCAGCTACTTATAAGTAGATATCCATGTGCTATATAGCAATGAATATCTATCTATATACATCTATATACTTTGTGAACCACTCAGAGAACCTTTTGGCTATTGGGCAGTATATAAATACGTAAGTAAATAAATGTAACTATGACCCCTTAACATTTTTCCCTTTTACCAGTTGATTCTTTCATTGTGCTAAGTTGGTTTTGTTGTCAGCTTTGGAATTATTTTAAACTGCAAAGCAGGTAGTCAATTAGTACAAATAATGAGAACTAGAAAGAATGGTTTGAAAAGACTAAGCTCCTATCATGGCTGTATCTAGCACCCTAAATCCTGAGAGTAAAGATGACTCATGAAGAAAACTAAGCAGAATAATTATTGAGCAGAAATCTGCTTCAACAGGGCTTTCCTGTCTCCTCCCTTCTATGACCAGCACAAGCACTTGTAAAGGATGATGGATCATCTGCAACTGCTTGGGATGGAGCATGGGGGCTGCAAGCAGGATATGGAGACCAGAGAACTTCAGAAAGGTTGACTTGCACAATCAGAAGTATTGCTCTGCTTATGGTAGGCATTCTTGGATCTAAGCCATGAGCAGCAACATCTTCCTAAAAATTAAGAATGTTCTGGAATACTCCAACACTGCCTGGATAAACTAACATGGGTACAGGAAAACAAAAAGAAAAGCAGGTTGCTTACCTGTAACTGATGTTCTTTGAGTGGCATCTGTGCAGTCACACATATGGGTGCTGCGCCTGCGCAGTGCCTTTGGCCGGAAGATAGCTAACGGTTTTGGCGGGAAGCTCCGCTCCCCCTCCCCCTATAGCTTACATAGAGCAGAGCGTCCACCATTTTGTTCAGTCTTTGAAGACCGAACGTTCGCTCCCATGTGGAAAAAAGGAGTCTCTACTACAGGTGCTATCGGTACCATGAAAGAAAAATCGGTACGGTACCGATGAAAATATTTCCACTCACCGACACCAAGCAGGGCCGACGGGTGGGTTGTATGACTGCACAGATGGCCACTCGAAGAACATCAGTTACAGGTAAGCAACCTGCTTTTCTTTGTCGTGGTCTCTGTGCATCACACATATGGGTAGATTAGCAAGCTTACCCCTATTGGAGGATGGGAGGTGTCCTTAGCGAAGAATAGACGAGAGAACGGCTCTGCCGAAGGAGCAGTCTTGTCTGGCACGAACATCCAGCCGATAATGCATAGCGAATGTACATGGAGTAGCTCAACTGGCAGCTCTGCAAACATCATCAGTTGGAACTCCCGACGCGAAGGCAGAAGAAGCAGCGACAGCTCTAGCAGAATGATCCCTTGGAATTGTAGGTAAGTCAATCCTAGCCAGCTGACAGGAGAGAGTAATTGTGTGGACTATCCACTTGGAAAGTCTTTGAGGGGTAACTGGAAGCACTTGATTTTGCTCAGAGTATTTGAGAAAGAGCCTGTTGGAACGTCCTTGATCTGTAGAAGGCCAGGCAGCACCGTACGTCAAGTGTGTGTAAGGATCTCTCTAGTGGATTCGTCAGGGATGGAAAGAAGGCAGGTAAGACAATGTCTTGTCCAATGTGAAAGGAGGTGACCACCTTGGGAAGAAAGGATGGATCCATTCATAAGACAACTTTCTCCCTGTGGAAGTTTAATTATGGAGGATCTACCCACAGAGCACAGAGCTCACTAACTCTTTGAGCTGATGTTACTGCTACAAGGAATGCCATTTTCCAAGAAACAAGACGTAAATTGATTGTCGCCAAGGGTTCAAAAGGAGCTCTTGTAAGACCACGGAAAGACTCCATGTAGGCATCACTGGTCTGACCGTTGGGTTAAGGTTATAAAGTCCCTTAAGGAATCTCTTTATAAGTGGCTGAGAGAAAATGATGAACCTTGAACTGTGCTACGATAATAGGAAATTGCTGCCGTATACACTTTTATAGAAGACGGTTTCAGTCCGGAATGATGAAGTTCTAATAGGAACTGAAGGATTTGATGTATGGATGCTGAGAGTGGAAGAAACGAACAAGACTTGGCAAAAGTAGAAAATCGCCGCCACTTAGCTGCATATGACTTCCGTGTGGATGGCTTTAATGCAGAATCAAGAATGTGTTGAATGTCCGGATGAAAAATTGTCAGATCCGACGGGACGTTCGTTGGATCCGATAACGTGGGGAGGATGAATGGATTCAAAGCGTGCAGCAACATGTCGAATCCGGGGACAGGGTCCGAATCATGTATAAATACCATCTGTACCGAGTCAACTGTTATCGGATTCGCCAGGATGTCAATTTCAGCGACATTAAATCTGGATGGCGAATTGTGCCTTCCCGCTGGGTTATGAGATACGGAATGAGTGGAAGATGAAGATATTCTGCCTGAGAGATGTGAAGAAGCGTAGAAAACCAGGCTTGGCGTGGCCACCAAGGAGTTATGAGCATTCCTGTAGCTCTGTCATGGAGTATCTTCGATATCACCCTCATAATGAGGGGAATCGGAGGAAAAGCGTAAAAATTCAAATTGTTCCAAGGGATCATGAAGGTGTTCCCTAATGATCCGTGTTCGATCCCCGCTCTCAAGCAAAAGGTCTTGGATACCCTGTTCTGTCAGGTGGCAAATAAGTCTATGTCTGGGAAACCCCAGTGATGGAAGAGGTGATTGCATGTCTGGGGGTCTAGTTCCCATTCGTGAGATGTGGACATGTGTCTGCTCAGAAGATCGGCTTCCACATTGTCCGTGCCGGCAAGGTGTACCGCCACCAGAGTAATGTCTCTTGGGATGCACCATTCCCAGATCTGCATCGATAGTCTGGCCAGAGTTGGTGACTTTGTCCCACCTTGTTTGTTCAGATAAAAGACCGAAGCAACATTGTCCAAGGTTATCTGAACGACTTCATGTCGAAGAACATCTTCGAAGGAATGTAGGGCCTTGAATACAGCCAGAAGGTCCAAGAAATTGATATGATTCCTGGATTCTCGGCGACTCCACATGCCTTGAGTACGTAGATCGGAACACACTGGTCCCCATCCCAGAAGTGATGCATCAGTACCGAGGGTCACTGAAGGGCGTCGGGGTCGGAATGGAACCCCCACGATTAGGTTGGCCGGAACCGACCACCAGAGCAGAGAGTGAAGAACAGAGGATGGAATCCGAATCAACTTTGTCGGTAGATCCCTTTGCAGCCAAAACATTTTGTTGAATAAAAGCTGCAGCGGATGAAGACAAAGTCTGGCATGTGGGACCACAGCAACCGACACAGCCATATGCCTCAAGAGTCTCTGGATGGACCAGGCAGGAACTGTCATGTCTCATCGCATTCGATGGATGTGCCGAGCAAGAGTCTGTTGTCTGTCCCGAAGAAAGAAGGCTTTTGCCATCGTAGAATCTAAACGGGCTCTGATGAAAGTAATCGTCTGTACCGGAAGAAGATTTCTCAGTATTAATACAAAGTCCAAGATCTTGTAATAGGGTACAAGTCGTACGTATCAAGGCAAGAAGTCCCTCTCTGGTTTGGGAGACTAGCAACCAGTCATTGAGGTAAGGGTAAATTTGAACACCCCGCAGCCGTAGAAAGACACAGACAGGAGCCAAACACTTAGTAAATATTCTCGGAGCAGTAGCCAGTCCGAAGGGTAACACGGTGAACTCAAATAGTTGGGAAGCGACAGCAAAACAAAGGAAACGCCTATGACAAGGATGAATGGAAATGTGGAAATAAGCGTCCTTCAAGTTCAATGAGGCAAACCAATCCTCTTTTGTCAGCAACGGTAGGATATTTTGAAGGGTGGTCATCCTGAATATTTTGTTGTGATAAACCGATTAATATTTCGTAAGTCCAAAATTGGATGAAGACCACCATCCCACTTCGGGACCATAAAATATCTCGAATAGAATTTGTGAAGTCTGTCCGTCTGAGTTAATCGACGAATCGCTCCTTTATGAAGAAGCTGTCGAACTTCATTGAGCAATATCGGCGAACATGAGGTGAACCAGATCGGACTCGATGGAGGAACAATGTCGAATTCTATCCAATATCCGTGCTGAATGATGGATAATACCCATCGATCAGATGTGATGGACTCCCAAATGGGAAGCCGACTTCTCAGCTGGTCCCCAGATGAGAGGGGGGTGCGTAGAGTAGGAAGGAGAGGAAAGGTTTGCCCGTCCCGTCAACGTTGCCTCCTATCGCCTTTGAAGCGACGATGGCCTTGTTGGTATCGTTGCGGGGGCTGTTGACGGCGGTGTTGCTGTTGCCAGTGTTGAGGCTGTCTGGATTGGTACAACTGCCTGTAGGAGGGTCGGGTCCAAGACCACTTACGTCGGTTCGGTGGTTGAAGCTCCATACGCCGGGCCATCACACGGGACTCATGGATCTTTTTGAGTTTGTGGTCAGTCCTGGAATGGAAGAGCCCGGACCCGTCAAAGGACATCTCCTCTATCAGCCTCTTCATCTCCTCCGGAAAATTGCAGTTGCGTAGCCAGGCACGCCTCCGGAGGGAGATGGCACTGACCAAGGCCCTCGAGTCCGTGTCCACGTGGTGTTGAGCAGTGGACAGCTGTTGGACAGCGACTTGCATGGCCTCCTTTATAAAAACTTTTGCTA